TTAAAGGGTGTTTGAGTTGAATCGTGTTTCTATGTAGGATGGACGCGCGTAGTGGGCCTAGTGAGAGACCGACTGTGGAGCAGGGCCGGGGAGTACTTCCTATGATCAAGTACCAGGTCCGGCTGAGAGGGACAGCGGTACGCTGGAGTCCGGCTAGTCGCCTTCGACGTTGTGAGTGCCGTCAGAGGTTTGCCGACCCCAATACACTAGTATGGGCCGTGGACAAAGAAAGGAAGGAGTTGGCCAAAGATTGTGCAAGGCTAGAGGCCGAGGTGAAGCAACTGAGAGAGGCCAACAAGAGGCAAGCCGAGCGAATTAAGGACTTGGAATATGACCTGAGTGAAGGTCAAGATAGAGTGGACGATCTGTGTACCCAATTGGGAGAGACACGTGAACGAATGGTCAAGAGGGCGAGGCAATTGAAGGAGAGGGCCGGATCGATTCTGAACTTGTGTGACGACCTATTAGGGGACGAGAGTGATGAGGACTCTTGCATGAGAGGTAGGGTCGGAGTCGAATCCGCTCAAGCGAGTAGGTCCTCTAGTCCCACGGTAGGCTAGGGCTTGGTTCTTAGGTCATTTTGGGGACTTTTGACTCTTGTATGTATAAGGGATACGGAATGGTAGGCCGGGAAGGACCCTTAGCTAGTCGCGTTGTATATTGGACTAGTTTTGTATATATTACTTTTGTATTGCCATTCCGTAAGAGGCTCTCCCTGTTTGTACTTGACTGACTGTTTTGGTATAAACGTGTGATCTTGTTGTGATGACTGTGAATACGTGTTAAGTGTTTAAGTGTTGTATGTACCTGTTTGGTTCAGTGTTCATGTTTATTGTTATGCACAGGAGTGTGTACCCTTTGATGTTAATGTTATACTTATACTTATGGGTATATTTTGATTGCTTGATTAATCTAGAGCGATGGAAGGCACGAGTAGTGGCCGAGGTAGAGGACGTGGGGGTAGACAGCCCACACCTGAACAGGGTACGGGAACGACAGTGCCCGAACCCAATCCTGAACCCCAAATCGATCCTACTGTGCAAGTAGCCGCTGCTATCTAGCAGATGACTGCTCTCCTGGCCCAGGTGGTGCAGCAACAGGGCCCCAACCCTAATCCACCTGTCGGCAATCCTGGAAACCCTGGAAATCATGTCGAGAGCGAAGATCGAGCTCTCGAACGTTTCCAAAAATTTTCTCCACCTAAATTTCTCGGAGGGCCCGATCCGGACGTGGCAGAACAATGGTTGGAGAAGATGATAGACATTTTTGCCGCCCTACATTACTCGGAGGAGAGGCAAGTGACTTTTGCGGTCTTTCAACTCGAAGGGCCCGCTCGCTCTTGGTGGAACATTATTCGGACAAAATGGGAGCGAGAACAGACGCCAAGGACATGGACGAATTTTGTACGGGAATTCAATGCCAAGTACTTTCCGCCATTGTTTCAGGAGAAAAAGGAGGACGAATTTATTCGTCTACGCCAAGGCACGCAATCGGTGGCCGAATATGAAAGCCAATTCACGCGTTTATCCAAGTTTGCCCCTGAGCTCATTGTGACGGAACAAAGAAGGGCGAGGCGTTTCCTTCAAGGACTTAATGTAGAAATCCAAAAGGATTTGGCCGTAGCCCAAATCACCACTTTCAGTGATGCTGTTGAGAAAGCATTACGATCCGAGAACGCAAGGCTTCAGGTGAGGAATTTCCAGAATAGGAAACGTGGAGCTGCTGGGAGTAGCTCAACCCAAGGGGATAAGGGCACCCCTCCTAAGTTTGGAAGGGGAGCTGGAGGGGGACGGTTTGTGAGTCCGGCTAGAGGGGCTCCCTCTCGAGGAAGCCAACCGGGATGAGGCCAACCGAGGAGCGCTTCACAAGGGAGTTCTGCTACTGTTACACGTGGGTCGTGTAGCTTCTGTGGGAAACCAAACCACACAGAGGACGACTGCTGGAGAAAACAGAACAAGTGCTTACGCTGCGGGAGTGCAGAGCACCGGCTCGCCAGTTGTCCAATCCAAGCCCGAGACGTGAAAGGAACTACACCGACGTCCAAGGCTACCTCAAGTCAATCACGGGTGGAGGGAGCCAAACCAAAGGTGCCTGCACGTGTATACTCTATCGAACAACTCCAGTTCCTGACTCGGCTGAGGTAGTGGAAGGTACGATTCCTGTCTTTTACCGCCTAGCTAGAATTTTTGATAGACCCTGGAGCACCCATTCTTTTGTTAACCCTGAGTTTATGTGCGGAATTGATATAAACCCTGTTATTCTTCCCTATGAGCTGGAAGTTAGTACTCCTACGGGGACCAATGTTTGATTTCTAGCAAGATGTACTCGGATTGTGAGATTTGGGTAGGTGAGCGGAAGTTAGTGGGAAATCTGATAAGTTTAGCCATAAAGGGATACGATGTAATATTAGGCATGGATTGGTTGGCTCGATACGATGCCCAACTGGATTGCAAGAGGAAAATAGTAGAATTCCGTATTCCTGGGGAGGCAACTTTGAAGTTAGATGTGAGGGGTAGTCTAGCCTCATCTGCTATGATATCGGGTTTTCGAGCTAGAAAATTTTTGTAGAGGGGCGCAAGGATTCCTAGCTTTTCTTATAAACACCCCTGCCGACAAATTGAAATAGAAGATGTTCCAGTAGTGAGTGAATACCCTGATGTTTTTCCTGACGAGTTAGTAAATTTGCCTCCAGAAAGAGAAATTGAGTTTGAAGTTAACCTTTGCCCAGGGGCTTCCCCTATTTCCAAAACTCCTTACCGAATGGCACCTGCGGAACTCAAAGAGTTGAAATTACAGTTGCAAGACCTTCTAGAGCGAGGGTTTATCCACGAGAGTGGATCACCTTGGGGGGCACCTGTTCTCTTTGTTAAAAAGAAGGACGGGACCTTGAGGCTATGTATCGATTACCGAGGGTTGAACAACGTGACCATTAAGAATAAGTACCCCCTACCTCACATCGATGAGTTATTTGATCAATTACAAGGTGCGGAGGTCTTTTCAAAACTAGATCTTCGACAGGGGTATTACCAGTTGTTGATTAGAAAAGAAGATGTGCCTAAAACCGTCTTCAATTCTCGGTATGGGCACTACGAATTTGCCGTGATGCCTTTTGGACTGACCAATGCCCCTGCTGCTTTCATGGACCTCATGCATCGAATTTTCAAACCTTATCTTGACATTTGTCGTTGTTTTTATAGATGACATATTGGTTTATTCAAAAACCCGTGAGGAACATGAAGAACATTTGAAAGCGGTCCTACAAACCCTGAGGGAGCACCAGTTGTATGCCAAATTTAGCAAATGTTGTGAGTTTTGTTATAGAAAGGGTTTCTTTTTCTGGGGCACGTGATTTCAAAAGAAGGAATGTATGCCTAGAAAGCGGTGATGGCCGGTAGGCGGTGACTGAGTGAAGAGACCGATAACCCTACTGAGATCCGAAGTTTTCTGGTTGGCAGGTTATTACCGGTGATTTATTAAAGATTTTCGAAACTTGCCAGTCCCTTAACCGATCTAACCAAGAAGGGTGGAAAATTTCTATGGAGTGATAAGTGTGAAAATATCTTTCACGAGCTGAAACGGAGATTAACCATGGCCCCTATTCTGGCTTTACCTAACGGTCCGGACGGTTTCACTGTTTACACTGACGCCTCCAAAGAAGGGTTAGGATGTGTATTGATGCAACATCAAAACGTGATAGCCTATGCTTCTAGAAAATTAAAAATTCATGAGCAAAACTATCCCATTCATGACCTCGAACTGGCCGCAGTTGTCTTCGCTCTGAAAAAGTGGAGACACTATCTGTACAGGGTGACTTTTGAAGTCTATTCTAACCATAAGAGCCTCAAATACCTCTTTTCCCAGAAGGAACTGAACATGAGACAACGCCGTTGGATGGAATTCTTGGAGGATTATGACTATACCATTAACTACCATCCTGGAAAGGCTAACGTAGTAGCCGATGCCCTAAGTCGAAAGGCTCAGATTTCTGGATTGATGGTGAAAGAGTGGGAATTATTGGGAACCGTTGGAGAGTGGAATCTGAAGTTGGAACAGAATAAGATAACTTTTGGGAATGTCCGAGTGATGTCCATATTTTTAGAAAAGATCAAGGAAGCTCAAACTAAAGATCCGACGGTTCAAAAGTGGATAGAAAAGGTGAAGGAAAGAGAACTTTCCGATTTTAATTTGAGCCCTGAAGGGATTATAAGATTTCGAAATCGAATAGTGGTGCCCAACGATGAAACCTTGAGAAGGGAGATTTTGGAGGAAGCTCATCGATCTAAATATACAATCCATCCAGGAAGTAACAAGATGTACCATGACTTGCGACGATTGTACTGGTGGGACAGGATGAAGAGAGAGATAGCTCGGTACGTCCAAACCTGCTTAGTGTGCCAGCAAGTTAAGGCCGAACACCAGAAACCTTCGGGATTACTGCAGCCTCTGGAGATTCCCGAATGGAAGTGGGAACACATCACCATGGACTTCGTTTCTGGACTGCCTAGAACTCAAAAGGGATATGACGCCGTTTGGGTGATCGTTGATCGGTTGACCAAGTCGGCCCATTTCCTACCTGTGAATATGAAGTATTCCATGGATAAGTTAGCTCGAGTATATTTCGAAGAGATTGTGAGATTACATGGAGTGCCGTGAGCATCGTTTCCGACCGAGACCCTCGTTTTGTGTCCAGATTTTGGCAAAAGTTTCAGGAGACCTTGGGGACGAAGCTGAACTTGAGTACTACCTATCATTCTCAAACGGATGGACAATCAGAGCGAACAATTCAGACTCTTGAAGATATGTTACGAACGAGTATTCTGGATTTCGGGGGTAATTGGGGGCAACACATGACATTAGTAGAGTTCGCCTATAATAACAGCTATCACTCATCAATCCAAATGGCACCATACGAAGCCCTTTATGGATGAAAGTGCCGTTCACCAATATACTGGGATGAAGTGGGAGAAAAGAAGGTTCTAGATCCTACTATCATTCCTTGGATGGAGGATGCTCAAGAAAAGATCAAGTTAATCCGTCAGAGACTCCAGACAGCCCAAAGTCGCCAGAAGAGCTATGCCGACAACCGAAGGAAAGATTTGGAATTTGAAGTGGGGGACCATGTATTCCTCAAGATTACACCATTGCGAAGCATCACTGCTGGCCGAGGAAAGAAACTCCAACCTAGATTCATAGGACCGTTTCCGATCCTTCAACGGGTTGGAAAAGTAGCGTACCGGCTTGAATTGCCGCCGAGCTTGTCACGAATTCACGATGTATTCCATGTGTCGATGCTCAAAAAGTATTACCCTGATCCAACCCACATTGTCCAGCCGGAAGAAATTGAGATTGACGAAGCCCTTACTTACGAAGAAAAACCTGTACAAGTGCTTGATAGGAAAGTTAAGGAGCTGAGGAATAAGCAGATTCCACTGGTGAAGATTCTGTGGAAGAACCACGGAGTCGAGGAGGCAACCTGGGAGATGGAGAATGAGATGAAAACCAAATATCCTGAACTGTTTAGTGATTCAGGTGAGAAATTTCGAGGACGAAATTCTTTAAGGGGGAGAGAGTGTGAGACCCTGAAAATTTTCATATTTTTCAGGCATTTATTTTGGGCTTTTGGGCCTAATTTTAGGGTTTTCTTCTATCCGTGGGTTTTCTGGGGAATTTTATGAGAAAATATGAATTTTGCATCATTTTCTGGGTTTAGGTCAATTTCTGTGTTGTTAAGGGGGTACAGCGGTTGCGGGACCCACTAAGACGATCGGTACAGTTAAATGTAGCTTTGAGAAATTTTATATACGGAAGCTTTGTGACCTAGTGTTATGAGTTAATTAGAGGTTAGTTGGCTTAATTAAGTGTTGTAAGACAAAAGGGAAGGGATAAGCTTGAAAGGCCACATGTCACATTTTCATTGGAGGTTGAAATTTTGACTTGTCTTACACCTTTACTAAATTAAATTTTGACCAAAATTCTTCATTTTTTTCTTACCTCTTGGCCGGCCAACTAGAGAGAAAAAAAGAAAGAAAGCTCTTCAACTCTTGCTTCATTTTCTTGCCCAAATCTAGGAATTTAACCATTAATCTTCCAAATCTCTCCATAAAAACCTTCTTGCTAGGAGTGTTGAAGTGTTTGGTGGTTTTTGTTTGAAAGGAAAAGCTCTCATCTACCTTGTATCAAGAAATTGTAAGGTGAGTAAATATGGAATTGTTTCCTTGTTGGTTGTAAGATGAAAGTTATAGGTGATAGTAGTTCAAGAGGCTATTTTATGGAGTATTTCATGACTTATACTTGAGATGTGGCAATTTTCTATTTATTTAGGAATTTTCTGTTTTATATGATATATCATGGTTGAGTTGGGTGTGATGGCTTTATATGGCTTGATTTAGAGCTTATATGTGTTAATGGTGGTTAATTGTGGAAAATTTCAGCATTTGTGAGAAAATTTCGGTTTTAGGGTTTGATGAAATTGGGGCTTTTCCATGTATGGTTTTCGTGCTATCAATTGATGTGTATATGGTTGTATTGTGATTCAAATGGGGTGAATGGACTAGTTTAAGAACCATAAGTGTAATGGTACAAGTTGGGTGTTGTTCATTAGGTTGGAAATGTGAAGAAATTAAGGGGAAATGCCGCCCAATTGGTTGTAGATATGGGTGGTCTTGAATTGAGAAGGATTTATTGAATGGATGAATTGGGGAGTTTGTTCACATTCCACACTTTCGTTGCTCCATTTTGTATTTTCGAGTAACTTGTATTAGTAGGTTAAACCTATACGTTGACTCGTGTACGAGTCTCAAATATGTTTCTTGCTTGTTTTAGGTCGTACGGTGGACCGGACCTACTCCTGACTCGAACGTTGATTTACTTGAGTACTTGGTGAGTGTATCATCAAATGGTTGATTGCACTTGATATGTGACTTGTATGGCTTGAATAGGTCAAGGGTGTACTTTATCGCTCTTGACCACTTACTGGCATTATTGTTACTGTTGGACTGTGAAATTTCATGTACATATGTGGTTTGATATTTGCTAGGGCTATGCCCTATTATTACTGTGAAAACTGAGCTCTTTTCCTTAGGCCGTTACTCGAGTCGAGCCGGCTAGGGCTTGGACGAGTCGTTAACGTGCTTTTGGGTCACTGATAGTCGAGTGGAGTATTTACTCCTCGACCTTATGGTATACTCGAGTATTGCCTTTTGTAACTGTGAGGTGTGCGGGCCCGGTAAGGGGGTGATTGGTGGAAGGAAATGGTGTAAAGAGGTGCCTACGGTTCTTGGTTGTCTCCAATGGTTGACGGAGTGTCAACGGGTATGATGAAGTACGGCAAGTGGAAAAACGGCCCTTGAGGGCCGATTGTATCCTTTTATATATGGTTGATTGATTAGAGGCACTTGTGTATATGTGGTTGTTGGCTTGTATTACTTATGTGCAAATTTGGTACCTCACGAGCATAAGCTCACCCCGTTATTTTGTTTTCCTTACAGGAGCACCGTTGGACCTCAAGTTTTGAATGAGTTGAGCTAGATATGTAGTTAGTTTTGAATAGCTCCTCGGAAACTTGAACTTTGATGTATTTGATTCCAAGAACTTTTGAAGTGTAAATTGAACCTTTCTCATGTATAACTAGCTTTATCAAGTCTTGGATAAACTGCATTATGTGTTGGTTGTGTTACGCGAGTTTCGATTTCGAACGAAGGAAGAAAGGATTTTTAGCAAAACTACTGTTCAGAATCCGGCCAAGAATCCGGCCAGTTTCTGGCCGGATACAAGGCCGGATATGCAGGGGAAAAGAAAAAAAATTTGGGTTTAGCTACTGGCCGCAATCCGGCCGGAGCAATCCGGCCAACTTCTGGCCGGATTTCCGGCCGGATTGACTGGGGAATTTCGACCCCTTTGGGACCAGCTCTGCCTCCTATCCGGCCAAGAATCCGGCCGGATAGTGACGTGGCTGGTTACTGTTCATCCGCGGCAATTTTTTTCAGTTTCGTTTTTTCTTGACCGTTTCAAGTGCTCGAGCGCTATATTTTCTTCCGTGGTAATATTAGTAATAAGAGCAACTTGGTAAGGCTATACGCTTGTTTTATTAATTTTCCCTTTGCAAGTTAGATTTGGATCGTTTGTTCCGGGTTCGTAGTCCTGGCGAGAGTTGGCAGGCGGTCCGTCAGCCCCTCTGGTTCGCCTTAGGGGACGATGGGGCCGTCACACAACTCCTCACACCTTTCTTGGTTTTTAGGTTGGTTGATTGGTTTAGGGCTTTAGTGCTCCACTAATCGTGCTAGGGCATCAATTGTCTGGTTAATATGTAACAGCCCCACTTTCCCCTAAAGCGAACCAAAGGGGTTAGCGGACTGCCTGCCAGCTCTCGCCAGGACTACGGATCAGTTCACGTCGATCTAATACGTTCTGAAACATACCCACGCGCGCGTAAACAAGTCAAAATCACAAAATAAAAAAAAACGAAAATCGAAACTGACGACGAACAGTACCGTCCACGTCAGAATCCAGATACTAGGCCGAGAGTAGCCAAATTTTTTCTTTTGCCGTTTGAAATACGAGTTAATCCGAAATCCCACCAAATGTCAACCAAACATATATACATTGAAATGTAACATTTACAAGCCAAAAGCCAAAGCGGCATATCAAAACGATTCATCATGGATATACATGTTCGGTTTGCCAATCAAAAGAAATTGAACCCAATACACATTAGGGTTTCATTCAAAGAGCTATTCAAAAGACATTTACATGAGCTCAACTTGACAACCAACTAACACAACCTTTTCCAAAAGTGGTCATTTCCTGTAAGGAAAACAAATGGAACGGAATGAGCTTAAGCTCAGTGAGTTACTACCACATAAGCAACAAAGAGCACATAGCATAACCTTTCATTTCAAGTACACAATTACAGAATAAAACAAGTCGGTAAAAGGATACGGACGGCTCTCAAGAGCCCATTTCCACGCTTACATTCTTGATCCAATCTCATTGACTCTCCGTCAACGTTTAAGAGTACCAACCGTAGAACCCACTTCACTCCATTCCTTCCACCCAACATACCCCAACCGGGCCCGCACTCCAATCAGTAGCTTTTGGTAATACTCGAGTATACTGGAACCAAGAGTCTCATTACTACAAGATTTCCCCGTACAGTCCCCGTGGCATGTCAATTTTCACGACAAGCCCTCGCCGCGCTCGATTCAATTGACTACCTACGGGTTGAGCTCAATAATATAGTAAGGCCGTTGGATATTCGTCCAAACGACACCAAATCAGTTTTCCATGAATGGAATTCAATATCTCATATAGCAAGTGCAGTATTTCAGTAAAACGGTAAACAGTCATGAATGGAATCGCAAGGGGGTGAGGGCGGTCAAGTACACCCTCACCTCAATCACTTCCAATAGCCAAATAAGCTTTCAAGGCCATCAAAATCACATATAGCAAAGCCACATTGTAACATTCAAGTGAGTAGTATACTCACTTATCAATTAAGTGTTGTTTCATGCACTTCCGTCAAGAGAATGTCGTGAATCACCGTCACCCTAGAACACGTAAACAAGTACAATGAGACTCGATAACGAGTCATAAAGCAATGCCAATCACAACCCCAATAGGGTTTCATATGCATATACAAGTATCATAGGTAACCAGAAAATCCGGAAATGCAATTAACTTTGGCCCTGAAAAAAAATAGTTTTGTCCTTATTTTGCGGTAATGGCACCAATTTCACTACGATTATCGGATGAGGGTGTAAGACCCACCGTTTCGAAGCTAAGAACCAGGGATACAACAATGTAGAAGGTCACTCAGACCAATTCCTATCACAACCAGGTCAAATATGCAAGACACTAAACCAGAACCACAAAAACAGGTTTACAAACTTCATCCTGCTGTAATCAGTACAACTCAGTCTGTACAGGTCCAAATTCGGAAATTCCAAAGGCATATGGTAGCTAAGACATCAAGCTACATTTCATCAGAAGACCTCAACAACCAAATCCAAAGCAATTCCAGTCAAAACAGCCAATTACAGGCGCAGTTCTGCCATCCTGATGAACCCAGAACAGCAATAGTAATTTCGACATTTCTCACTCTACACTACTCCAAATGACCTGAAATTTTACAGGCACCTCAAACACATCAATACCTACAACTGTCATGTTTTAAGCAAAGGCCAATTCGGCCTCTAACCATATGATACAAACCGGACAGAAAAGGTGGTTATGGAACCCTAACTTTTCACATTTCCTTCCAAATCCAAAATTGGTTGCAATTCCCAATCATTTACACCTACTAGAGTCATTCTAGGCCATTGCCAATCATCATACAAGGCCACAACACCATGATCATATTAAACCAGAAAAATCACCAATAAATTGAAAACTTCATCAAGTCCTCCAAAAGCAAGAAATAAACCACATATTTAATCACTTAAGCTCCCATTAGGCACAAATTAAACTTCATTAAGTGTAGGAGGAAGTTCAAACACCACTCACCTAGTAAACAAGAGAGGGAGAGTTGCTTGGCACCTTAGCTTCTCCAAACACTTCATCAAACCACTAAACAACACCAAATGAAGAGGTTTTATGGAGTAGAAACAAGTTTAAGGGATTGCTTGGGATGATTTGAGCTAGATGGATGCCAACCTTTGAAGATTTTTCTTCCTTCCTTTGCTAGAGAGAGAGAGCCGACCAACAAGGAGAAGAAAAGAGTGAATTTTTGGTGATTTTTGAGGTATTTAATCAATTAGTCAAAAAAGTAAAAAAGGTGAATAGTTGTCCTACAAGTGAAACCAATGGCCAAGTGACACTTGTCACTCCATAAATACATCCCTATCCTTCTTTTTCCCTCACATCAATCACATCTCATCCTCCAATTATCTCTTAACACCCGATAAATTTCAACCAGTATCCGAAACTTAACCTAATAGGCCGAATTTTTCCGAACTTTTCGCACTAGTGGTCCCACGTCCGATATATATCCTTTATTTTTTCAAAATTCTCATACTAGAAAAATCATCTAAAAACATAATTACTCATAAAATTCACCAGAAAAATTTTTCTAAGCCAGAAAATACAGAAAACATGCCATTAAAAGGGATAAACCCTAGGGAAAATTATTAAGAGGAATTACGGGTTCTCACATAATAGCAATAACTACGCGATTATTTTCATTCATTCTAGGGTTTTGATTCAGTCCAGCAGTCGTTCTATAATCGTCCAAGCCTCTCGCCCTCGATCCTTTTCACTCTTTTGGTCACCCCATAAATTTAACATGTTTAAAGGCATGACATAAAGTGAGTGCACATAAACAGAGTTGAAAAGTATACCTTTATCCCGCCAAACAAATACAAGAATAAAAATGGAAGACACCAAAATAATCGCAAATGAGTACAACCCAATCATGGATTTGAAATCATGAAGCAGTAAAGTCAAGCATGCTATGAGTAACGTTTAATTGCCTCAAAAGGTAAACATAGTGAAAACAAGATACAAAATGCAATGGCCTTTAAGTGAGTGCCACCCTATCTATCTTTGGCAAAAACTATTAAAATAGTTTAAATCACTAACTTAGTGGTTGGCGGAGCCAAAAGTCTTAATTACCTTCGTAGGATCATTTTCATTTCCAGCATTAGAAGTTTTAAATCTCATGTCCCTTATTGAATATCTTGTCATTCTCCA